CGGCCACACCGGGGGTCCCTCTGCTTCCCCACTTTTTGGAGTAGAGCTCCAAAATCTCCCTTCTGTCCTACCCCGAAGAAAGGCGGCAGCTTCCAACCCCGACAGCGCTGCCTGCCTTGCTGCGAAACGCCCAAAGGTGACCCCATCCCCCCATTAGCTCTGCAATTCGGGGTGCCCACGAAACACCCACATTTACGTGGTCAGCAGCCACACAGTGAGCAGTTTGGCTGTTTAAGCCGCCCACTCCAGGTCTGTGGGTTCACACTGCGCCCACGAAAAGGCAGCCTGCAACTCGCCACACCCCGCTTGCTGGGAGCCCATCAGCGAGGCAACGCAGCCAAGCAGCATAGAACCATGGAATGGTTTGGAAGGGACCTTAAAGATCATCTGGTGCCAACCCCCCTGGTAACCCCGAGCGGCGCCGGCAGGGTCTCGCACGGCTGCCAGCCAAGGAAAGCAGCTCCAATCTGTCGCATCCCCTCTCCCAGCCGCCACGGCCACACCGGGGGTCCCTCTGCTTCCCCACTTTTTGGAGTAGAGCTCCAAAATCTCCCTTCTGTCCTACCCCGAAGAAAGGCGGCAGCTTCCAACCCCGACAGCGCTGCCTGCCTTGCTGCGAAACGCCCAAAGGTGACCCCATCCCCCCATTAGCTCTGCAATTCGGGGTGCCCACGAAACACCCACATTTACGTGGTCAGCAGCCACACAGTGAGCAGTTTGGCTGTTTAAGCCGCCCACTCCAGGTCTGTGGGTTCACACTGCGCCCACGAAAAGGCAGCCTGCAACTCGCCACACCCCGCTTGCTGGGAGCCCATCAGCGAGGCAACGCAGCCAAGCAGCATAGAACCATGGAATGGTTTGGAAGGGACCTTAAAGATCATCTGGTGCCAACCCCCCTGCCATGGGCAGGGACATCTTCCACCAGACCGGCAGCGATGCACAAAACCAGGGTCCACCAGTCCTCACCGTGCCTCCCAGCTGCTTCAGGCCTCCGATTTCTGGTGAGGAAACCCTTCACCCCTCGCACAACGTGAAGCGTTGTCCGTGTCCCATCTCCCCCCTCCCCCGAGCCCAGTGTCCCCATCCCCCTCCGCGGGGTCACCTGTCACCATGACGGGGCGGATGCTGGCGTTCCGCAGGAGGTGAATCACGGGCGCGGACTCTGGCTTGAGGACATTTTTCATGACAAGGAACCCCAGGAAGGTCAGGCTGCTCTCCACAGAGTCCCTGGTGGGATACAACGAGCTGTTCAACACCATCCTCGACACAAGGCAGAGCAGATCCATCGGTATAAACAGCTGAAAATCCATCTGGGGGGCAGCCAGCAACTAATCACAGAATGGTCAGGGTTGGCAGGGACCTCTGTGGGTCACCCAGCCCAACCCCCTGCCCAAGCAGGGTCACCCAGAGCAGGCTGCACAGCACCGCGGCCAGGCGGGGCTGGAATATCTCCAGAGAAGGAGACTCCACAGCCTCCCTGGGCAGCCTGGGCCAGGGCTCCATCACCCTCAGAGGGAAGAAGTTCTTCCTCAGGTTCAGCTGGAGCTTCCTCTGCTTCAGTTTGTGCCCGTTGCCCCTTGTCCTGTCGCTGGCTCATCCTTGTAGCCCTCTGCTGGACTCTCTCCAGTAGCTTCTCATCTTTCTTGAACTGGGGAGCCCAGAACTGGACACAGCACTGCAGATGGGGCCTCACCAGGGCAGAGTAGAGGGGGAGGAGAACCTCCCTCGACCTGCTGGCCACACTCCTCTTGATGCACCCCAGGATCTCATTGGCCTTCTTGGCACCCAGGGCACGCTGCTGGCTCATGGTCACCCTGTCGTCCCCCAGCACTCCCAGTCCCTCTCCACAGAGCTGCTCTCCAGTAGGTCCACCCCAAGCCTGTACTGGTGCCTGGGGTTGCTCCTCCCCAGGTGCAGGACCCTGCACTTGCCCTTGTTGAACCTCATCAGGTTCCTCTCTGCCGAACTCTCCAGCCTGCCCAGGTCAAATCGCTTTATTACCGGGTACGGTTTAATTCACCGCAGGCTGCGAGGATGGGGCAGGCTGCAGGGCAGCACGACAACCTGTGAACTGCTTGGAGCGAACATCTAAATGCTAAAAAAAAGTCGTTGGCACCGACCTCTGGAGCTGCAGGGCCTCCTCGAAGTTGGTCACCGTGCCCAGGGGTTTGCAAGCCAGACCCAAGACCCGGAAACCGTCGGTGGTGTAGTGTCGCAGCATCTGGGAGAAATCCATGGGCACTGCCAGTTGCGAGGGGAAAAGCAAAGGTCAGAACCGATCCTGAACGACCATGGGCTGCGCAGACCCAGCGAGGGGAGCTGGGGCTCGAGCTCCCAAAGGGCTGAAGGCCTTAGAAGGCTCAAACCAGAACCCAACCCCCTTCCCTGTTTTCTGGCTCCTGTTTTCTTCCCCCTTCCCATGCGGCTGGAGCTCATCCAAAGCCCTGTGCCTCTGGGAGCCGCCCCGCAGCACCACCGAGCAGAATTCCCTGTGGGATTGAGCTGCAGGGATGCAGGCAGACGACGGAGCAGCAGGACCGGCTGCTTCCCAGTAGTGAACCAC